TAGGCACAGAAATATGAAAGATCTTGAAAAATTTTATCTAGAATACCTGAAATTTTCTTTTAACGTTCTTTGCATTTTGAGGAGGGTCTATGTTATTTTATTACGTAAGTGCAATATCAGATGACAGCATTGATAAAATAAAGGAGATAAGTAAGGTGAGATTGTATATATATATAAGTAATATATGTTATTAATAAAATAACCCTCTAGCCCTGAAGTGTGATGATTCTTTTCAATTATGAGCAAGTCATAGGCTCAGGTAAAACTTGAGGAAAACAGATCAAGTGATCAAAACTTTGTTTAGTTTGTCTTTTTTGTTACTGCTGTAGCAGCTTTGTCCTTTTAATTATACCATACTTCAAAACATCTTGAAGTTCATTCCTTAGTGCATTTTGTTCTGTGCTCATAAAGGAAGAGTTCTTAAAGTGAATGTGATGTAAAATCACTGCCAGATTGAGAAAGCTTTGTTCTCTAAAAACAAAATGATCAATAATTATTCTTCATTAGAAGTAATAAATTGCTTTTTATTAAAAAGCATACCTGTTTGTAGGTCATATAATTGAGAGACTGATTCAGATACCATTGTTTTAAACTGGAATCTTAAACTCTCAGCTAACAGTTTCTTAGTGAGCAAATATACATGAATACTTAGTTTCTGAAAGTTTCACCAAAATGTTACTAATTTAAAAGCTTACTATCTCTATACTATTCACTGTATGTCAATTCCTTATGCTCTCACCATAAATCATAAGCAATTAAGTATAAATAATTACAGATAGTGGTTTATACAGTACCTGGCACACAGTGGACATTTGATAAATTAATTGAATTTGAATTGTTACATTTTATAAACATGCTACTTAGTAAAATGAAAATCTAGCACTTTAAGTAAAATACATGTAAATAATTCTTAGAAAATGTCACTTTGTTTTCTGGTTATATTATCTGATCTATTTACTATTCAAGTCTAAAAGCATAATTAATTTTGAACATGTTCTCACAGACTTACATGTAAAAGTCAACAGACAGACTCTTGCCACTTGTGTGAAGTGGCTATTTAACCATGAAATAAACTATTTTTATTGCCATTGCCCCGTGGATATGTTCTTTCTGGCAGTGCTGTCCATATTTGGTGGCTGTGCATGGAGAGCCAGGTGGTGCTGAAAGGCATCGCACAGTGAAGCGTGGATATATCTAGGTTCGACATTTGTCATCCCTTACTGCTTAAGGGAAGGGTAAAATCTGTTTTTCCATATGCTTATGCTTTTTTTTGCCTGCAGTTTTGACCAGATGGTCTTATGAACATTGTTTACTTTAGGATGCTGTCCCAGATGTTTTGAAAACTGATGGGTAAATGTGGTACACAGATACATAAATCATTTGTATGTTACAGTTTAAAAGATGCTATTTGTTCTTATAAGATTAAAATAGAATTTATTTCTGAAAGTATTTTCCCAAGTGAATAATAAATATATGTTTATAGGTATATATTATATATATATATATATATAATATAGTTAATGTAATCTATGTAGTTTATTTCCCCCAACCACTCAGTTTTCATATTAATAGGCTAAAAAAATATTATGGCAACCTTTATTAAGAATGTTAACTGAAGGAAATACTTTTGGGGAGTCATATTTGTTTGGGGTAACGTATACTTAAATCTGTAAGAATTCTGCCTACTGTTTTTGTAATTCTTTTCATTATACATAAATCACTGAAGAGAAGTTAGCTAGCAAAATGACAATGGATTTATAGTCAAAAGATTATCGTTATAACCTTGGACAAATCACTTAACCTTTTGGAGACTGAGTTTTGTAAACATAAAATCAGACTAACAGCCTTACACCAAAAGATTGAGCACTGCTTGGATTTAATTAGTCTTTCATCTTAAATCTCTTAAAGATCACTGTGAAACCATCTAGTGGCAACAGCTATAATGAGAGCCTGAAACCTGCCAGTTCAGGGCTTTAGTTGGAATCTCAGATATAATTACGAGGTGGACTGCTCTCTTTTGCAAACCCTGCCGGGATCCGTATGGGGCTTCCTCTTGTTTGTTTAGTGCTTCTTAAGCCCCAAATGGCTTTTTTTTCCATTTGCTTTTACATTCCCTTGCAGGTTTGAATACTATCTGGCCTTTCTGTCTTTCCCTTTTCTCTGTGCTTCGTCTTTGCACTTCGGTGACCTCCACTGATTGTGTCAGCCTTTGCCCCCTAGCTCTAGTATGGGGTTTAAATCTTATCCTTTATTTTTTGATGTTTGGAGGACAGGGGAAGAGATCTATCTTGCTAGTTCTTTTCTGTGTTAACTCTGAATTCTTGGATTGGGAGTTGAAAACAGTCTTCATTATCTGAACAACAGATATCCAATAACAACCAATAATGTTTAAAGAATAAACATACAGGAATAAAGGAGAAAAATAGGTAATTGGGTCTATAATAAAAAATTGCATCACAGGATAAAAGTTAAGACTTGAAAGAAAAATCTTTTCCTTGTAATAGATTTGTTTAATGAAAGAAATATCTGAGAAACCACCAATTTATTTTTCTCAGTGATATGTTTCCATGCGTTAGAAAGAAAAACTAAGATCATGAAAACCACAAAGTCAATATAAAAAGCAGAACTCATATGAGCAATTCAGAAAAACCAATTAGAAATGAGATAAACTTGAGGGAAACCACCCTCCCCCCAGAAAGTACAGGAAATGATTAAAGAGAAAAAAGTGAGAGCAGATAAACAATGGACATGAAGGAAAAAGGGAGAGAAAATAAGCAATGGACATGAAGGATGGCTTGTGAAGATACAGATTTGGGCACAAATCACAATTTCGGGGGGCTCTGGGGGCCGGTTTTCACATACTCACATAGAGCTTAGTGTTCCAGGTGCTTTGCAAAGCAAACTTAGCTCACTTAATCCTTAGGAAAATCGTACGAGAAAATATGTTAATAATCCCACTTGATTAACACTGGATTAGTCCCATATCTAGATGCCTTTTCTTTGGCAAAATTCCTAGGTGCCAAGTCAGGCCTTGTTTGAACCAATAAAATGTGCATGATATCAGTCTGCCAGTACCTAGACTAAAGTTTCTCTTGATGGTGTTTGTTTCCCGCTGCTGTCCCTGAGAACAGGGGTGCCTCCACTCCTTTCACCTCTCTTAATGCTCTTGTACAGAAGGGCAGGGTGGGGAGGGGATGTCTTAATTTATGTACCTCTTGAGAACTCATTGGAGACACAGAAAGCTGAAATTTGACTATATTTGCTGTTTAATCTTGCAGATTTTGAAATTTGAAAGCTGAAATTTGACTATATTTGCTGTTTAATCTTGTAGATTTTCATTTAAGTTGAATTTTTAAAATGTATGTTCTTCCCGACATCACACTCCTGTGGAAGAAAGAGCAGTCATAAGAGACATTCCCTGATCTCCATCAATCTGATTGGAAAAACAGACAGCCAGACATTTAAAAAGTTAACTAGCAATGCAAGACAGCAAACATGTCAGTATTAGGTGAAAAAAACACATGATTGTAAGTACTGTGAAATCTGAGAATTGAAAGGAATTTAAAAGAACATTTAGTTAAAACCAAAAGTGAGAACTTGGGAATTTCCTGTTTAACTTAAAATCACACTGGTTCAGAAAGTGATCTGTTGTTAAATAGGTAAAATCAGTAATCTCAGTTCATAAATGTTGGAAATTGTTCTTTTTTGTATTGTTTTTGAACGTGATATACTGACATAATTAGCAAATCTGCATTAATTATCCATGTTGGTAAGCCTAAAACATGCACTTATATACCATACATTTATGTATTAGGCATTTTACTTTTTATATTATACAGTGGGGCTCCCCTTCCCCACCATCCACACTTTTGCTTCCTCGGATTCAACCAACCGCAGATCAGAAATATTAGAGAAAAATTCCAGGAAGTTCCAAAAAGCAAAACTTGAATTTGCTGCATGCTGGTAACTATTTACATAGTATTTACATTGTATTAGGTACTATAAGTAATCTAGAGATGATTTAAAGTATATGGGAGGGTGTACATTTATATACAAATACTGTGCCATTTTTATATAAGATTTGAGTGTTCATGGATTTTAGTATCTTTTTATTTTGACGACTTCAAAAGTACAGAAAAGTTTCAAGAACAATACCAAAAAAATTACCACTGTAGGGTTTTTAAAAAATCCATCAATATTTCTTTTGTTTATTAGTAGGCATTCTCTTGTAGGGAAGTTTTCTCTCTTTCATCCTCATTTTAAAATCTGTTTTATTACAAATTCAGATTCATTCTCATTTTGTTCAGTGAGTAATAATCTAATAGTACCCTTTTTTGTTTTATAATGACAAATTGTTCCAGATTGGACCATTGGGAACCTATTCAGAATGACACCTGTGTATTTTGACATGCTCATCACTTTTTTTGAGCACTTCCTTATTTTCTAGCACAACAGATTGTTATAGGCTGATTTTGCCTGTTTGCTGCCCCAGGTTTAGAATCAGCATTAGAGTCTCCATTCCTTTTGGTAGGGAATGGTATTTAGAAACTGATCTTGGGGGAGGGTCTAGCTCAGTGATAGAACACATGCTTAGCATGTACGAAGTCCTGGGTTCAATTCCCACTGCCTCCATCAGAAATAACTAAACAAACAAATATAATTATCTCCCCCAAATTAAAAATAAATAGAGTCATAGAAACTACGATCTAGTCTTTTCTACTTTTTCTTTAGCTTCATTTTTTAATGTTTAGTTTTTAAATTCATCTGGATTTTATTCTATAATGTGGTTTGAGATGCAGATGTGTATATTAAGATGAATTAAAATTAGTTGCGTTAGCAGTAAAATACAAAACCCGAGACATTTATTTGTATTTGTATTCTTGCCCTTCAAGAACACTCATTCAGAGGCAAATCTTATTTAATTTTAAATAATACATTTAAATTATGTCAGATGATATGTATTTAATTTTAAATCTCATGTCAATTATGTTTTCTCTTAGATGCATTTTCTAGAATCATAAAACTTTATGAAGAAAAATGTGAAACAGGTGAAAAAAATAAGGGAAGAAAAGGCAGCAGTGTAACATCTGTGAAAGGAATTACGAATTTAGGAAATACTTGCTTTTTTAATGCAGTCATGCAGGTAAGAGCCATGAGAGAGCTTTGAAAAATGTAAAAGTTTATTTTAATTAATTTGTGTTCATTGGCACACCTGTAGTCTGTAAAATGACTGCCAAATGTTCATCTAGAACTTTGTTTTCTATTTGATTGTTTCAGGCTGTCTGTAGCCATTGTCATACACACACATACACTTTTTTACACACTGCTTCTGAAAGATCTTCTCTGTATTTTACTGGGACTCTATCAGTAATAGTGATATATATTAAATGTAAAATGTACTCAGCTAAATTTTCTAAAACTTAAAAATTTCTTTTTTGCTATGCCAGGTGATATTTAAAACCTTTAAAACTGTAAAATCAGAGGCATATTATAACTGAATCAGATGTTATTTTTGTTTTCTTTCAGAATTTGGCACAGTCTTACATTCTTACTGAACTGATGAATGAGGTCAAAGAACATGGTACAAAACTCAGGATTGTTCCTTCCTCAGACTCCCAACTGGTAAGAAGCATAATTATCTGAATAATAGCTCTTTTCAGATGAGTCAGTGATGTTGCCAAAACCTATCTTTCCTAGTTCTCAGAATTGTCAATTGAGATGATAGTCCTAGAATTTGAAAAATATAATTCAGAAGCATTTTGTGAAAACAAACAATTAGACTTAAAACTTCTAAAATAATAGCTTTAAGATATGTTCTGGTTCAAACATATCATGCATGGGTCAAACAACACAAAAAATACTTGAGGCAGCTTCCACGCAGACATTCTAGAAAAGACAAAAAGGGGTTTGACGTTTGCTGAATGAAATGTCTAGGTCCTGTTTCGTAGTTGGTGGTGACATTTGTTTAAATACAGCATTTTGGTTCTTTACAGGTAGATTCAATTCTATAGTGACCATCTCAAAGTTTTTTGGAGCCTACTTTGATAGTGGGTTTTTAAACTAGTGAGAAAGGGGTTGGGGAAAGCAGCCTCTGACATTCAGAAGCTGGTCTGACACCCGCAGTTAGGTCGTACTAGACTGGTGAAATGAAACAAAGCAAGGCTACTTCATAATTTTGTCAAAACACAAACAAAAACGAGGTTACTCTACCACTTAAAAAAATCCCGAACACCCTCTCTTGGCCAAAATGAGTCACTGCAACTTTTTCACTTGTTCCAGCTTTATCCTTATTCTAGTCTCCCTTTACTGAGATACTCAATCATAAAATCACCCCCACTTTCTGACAGCATCCAGTTGGGTTACTAGCAAAGATAACATTTTAGAAAATAAAATTTGATGGGGAGAAAGTTCTAGAATAAAGAGCGTTGATCCTTCACACAATTTTAGCTGCTTTTGTCAAGCTTCATGTCTCTCTCCTTTAAAGGAGGGAGATGGTGTACCATTTTTGTGACATAATTTCCCATTCCTTATTCTGTTAGTGAAATATTTGGGGAAAGAAGGGGATGGGGTATTGCTAGTGAATGTAATTTATTATTATTTGTGAATATGTACAAATATCAAGTAGATGAGTAATATTACTTTAGGAGAGCATATTGAGGGACAGTTACAAGCAACTAAAGACTGGTTTTTCACTCTGAAGCTAATGGTTTTATTAAGTAAAGGGCAGAGAATATGAGAATACTTGTATTTTTCAAGTTAAGGTATTAAATTTCATTTTTTATATATTCATTTTACATATGAGGGAATAAAGTTTCTTAATACACTTGAAGCAGTTTAATCATCATTTAAAGAAAGTGTAACTCTTAGATTTTTTAATAATGTTTTATTTTAAAAGTATATATTTCTGACATAGAGTTGATCATGTTTTTAAAGGACCCATTAGTGGTGGAACTTTCAGGCCCTGGACCGTTGACCTCAGCCTTGTTCCTGTTTCTTTCCAGCATGAAGGAGACTGAAAAAGGACCACTTTCTCCTAAAGTTCTTTTTAATCAGCTTTGTCAGAAGTAGGTACATCTACATTCTTAATATAAATAATCATCAGTTATAAAATATGAATGTATTTATTACTTGGTGTGAGTAGTCTGACTCTTACTGTAACATTGCTTGCATTGCGTTGACCACCGTGAGAAAGAACTAACATTTTTTTTAGTCGCAACTGTGTGCTTTATGTAAATTATATCTCAGAAAACTAAAGAAATGGTTGTGTATCCCCATTTTCTATGTAAGGAAACTGAAACTCACAGAAGTTGAGTCGCTTACCTTGTTTCATAGTGACAAAGGCAGGATTCAAACAGAGCTCTGTCCTGACTTAGAAGCCCATGATGTAATACCATAAAGTGAGAGAACTACAGAATTATAAAATCCTGAAGTGTTACAATAGGACTCCTAACCTAGTTTTCTTATTTTTAAAGATGAGCTTGGAGACATACAGCGTTTAAGTAAATTTCTCAAGGTATTACAGTATGTTTAAAAACAAAATCCTTGTGTACCTAGGATGTGTGACACATGTCATGAGGGACTTGACTCAACTTTAATGCACTCATTTACTTCTTCATCCAGAAAATTGCAATCTTACTTTGTATCAGGTACTTGCTGGAATCCAGGGGCACGCAATGTATAATTTATTAAAAACAGATCCTGCCAGGAGCTCATACACTAACCCAGTCCACAGGAACTGAATATGTAGAAACAGAATTCTTTAAATGTGAACTTGCATTTTTTTGTGTATCTCTAGGCTTTAAAATTTCATTTTAATTGACGCTAGTTACTTGTGCCATGGTATTATGTTATATTTTATTTTATCTCATGGTATTATACTAATGTTAATTTCCTTTTTAAAAAAATTGTATTGTGGAAAGAACTCAATACGAGATCTACCCTCTTAAAAAAATCTCAAGTGCACATATATGATTGTTGACTGTAGGTGCAACGTTAGGCAGCAGATCTCTAGAACTTATTTATCTTGCTTGACTAAAACTTTGTTTATTGTTTAGTAACTGCTCCTTCTCCCCCTCTCTCCAGCCCTTGGCAACCACAATTCCACTCTTTGATTCTATGAATTTGACTATTCTAGGTAACCTCATATGATTGGAATCATGCAGTATTTATTCTACTGCAACTGACTTACTGGGCATAATGTGCCTTGGTATTTTAAATGTAGTCCAAAATATGGAGGGCTTATTTCATGTTTCATTTGGTTGCCAAAGGGTGTTTTTTCAATGCCTGAAGAACAGTAAAGCCCTTAATAGTCTCAGAGACATGGATGCCTCATAGAGTTAAGGTTTTAGGACATTATAAGCTTTAGGAACTTTTTTTGGTGGGGGGAGGTAATTAGGTTTATTTATTTATTTTTTTAGAGGAGGTACAGGGGATTGAACCCAGGACCTAATGCATACTAAGCATGCACTCTGTCACTTGAGCAATACCCACCCCCATTATAAATTTGTTTTTGACTCTGCCAAAAAGAACTTTGCTTTGTTTCATTTTTTTCTGGTTTTATAAACATTTATAAAAATTTCAAAATATTAAAATAATAGATGCTCATAGATAAAAATTCAGACTACTGTTATTTGTTTCTTTATTCTCTCCAAAAGTGATTATGCATACACAGACAAATATAAAAATTGTTTGCAGCATGCTTGTTTTGCTTAATATATTTGCATCTTTCCATATGAGCACATGGGGATATAATTTATTTGATTTTACATATAGATATATGTGTGTGTGTATATCATTGCACTTGTGAGAGTATGTCTGAAGGATAAATAGAATTACAGGATCCAATGTTTGAAAATGTTCAAAAATTGCATTTTCTTTTGCTTTATTGTGTTTACTTTTAAAAAGATATGTATATACTAGCAAAAGTGATTTTTAAAAAATGGTGAAGATTTAAGCCATGTTTGTTGAGTCTGTTTTTGGACTTTGTTATGTTCCATTGGTCTATATATCTGTTCTTACCCCAATATTGTATTGTCTTGATAATTGTAGCTTCACAGTAAGTCTTGGAATTGGTTGGCATGAGTCCTCAAAGTTCCTTTTTTTTTTTAATGAAACTATTCTAGGTCCCTTGCTTTTTTATGTGAATTTTAGAATTAGTTTGTCAGTTAGGATTACATTGAATATGTAGGTTCATTTGGGGAGAACTGACATCTTAATAATTTTGAGTCTTCCAATGTGTGATTATGACATACCTTTTCAATTATTTAGATTTTTGATTTTTCCTCATCAAAGTTTTATGGTTTTTATCCTACAAATCCTGCACTCATTTTGTTAAATTGACCTTAGGAATTTCATGTTTTTTAAATGCTATTTATTGTAATTGGATACTTAAAATTTTTTTTTAATTTTCAGTTGTTAATTTCCAGTTTTACTTAATTTCCAGTTTTGTTCCTAATATCAAGGGCAGAGCATTCAGTCTTTCACACATAAGAATGATACTGTAGACTTTTCACAAATTCCATTCATCAGGTTGAGGAAATTCCCATTCCTAGTTTTTTCTGAGAGGTCTTACCAGGAATGAGTATTGGTACACCTTGACTCCTGGCCCAGAGTAAACATGAGATGATAAATGCTTGTTGTTTTTTAAGAAAAAAGAATAAGTATTAAATTTAATAAATTTCTGCATCTATTAAAATAATCATGTTTTCTTTTAATCTGTTGAAATAGTGAATTGTATTAATAGATGTTCTGAATAGCTTTAGTGAATATATTTGACAAGCAATAAACTGTTTATTTAAAGTGTACTGTCAGTTAAGTTTTGACATACGTATGTACTTGTGTTGCCACTGTCAATATGATGAATATATCCATTACCCCAAATGTCTTCGTGGGCTCTCTTGTCATCCCTCTCTCTGGACTCCCTCTGCTAAGCCCCATTTTTGTCACTATAGATTAGTTTGCATTTTTTAGAATTCTGTATTCAGTTGACCATTGAACTACACAGGGGTTAGGGACACCAACCCTCCCCAAAGTCAAAAATCTTCATATAACTTTACAGTTGGCCCTCTGGATTCTGGGTTGCACATTTGTGGGTTCAGCCATCAAGGATTGTGTAATATTGCAGTATGTATTTATTGAAAAAAAAGTGTGTGTAAGTGGCCCCACGCTGTTCAAACTTGTGTTGTTCAGGGGTCAACTGTAAATGGAATTGTACAATATGCCCTCTTTTTTTTTTTTTGTCTGGCTTTTTTTATTTGGCGTAATTATTTTGAGATTCATTCATGTTGTATATATACATTGATTTTTGAGAGTTGAACTCAGTCTCTTGAAGCATCTGTTATAATGGTGATTTGTCAGACACTTTGACCACTTGTGATGAATTATTGGGAGCAAGCTCTTCAGCTTTCTTTTGGCCTTTTTTTCCCTCTTCAATACCTTGTTATTTTGCAGTAGTTTTTAAGTCTCACAAAAAGTGGCAAGAAGAGTGCAGAGTTCCTATGTACCTTCATCCAGCTCCCACCAATGATAATATCTTACATAATAGCAGTGCATTGTCAGAACCGGGGAATTGACATTAACACAATACTGTCAACTCCAATGTAGATCCTAATGGATTTCACCAGTTTTTACATGTACTCTTCCTTGAAAGGTTCAGAGATATTGTAGAGTGATTCTGTTTCTCCAGTCACACCCATCTTTTGCTTCCTTTATTCCCTCAGATTGCTAACTAATATTGATGTGCTGAGTTTTCTTTGGTTTTGTCCATGAGGAAATTACACACATATATAGTCCTAGTTTTGTGATATTCTTTGGTGTTTCATGTACCTTAAGAGTGCCACCAAATTATCAAGAGAGAATGAAAGTTCAGGGTACATTCTTCAATATTATTATCTTCTGCTTTATTCTACCCTTCAACCATGTATAGTTCTGAGTTTCTCCTATCTTTTGTATTTTTATGTCTGTGGTTTTATTTTCTTACTTCTAATATTTTTAATTTGTCATCTTGTATCTACATACTCTTAATATTTTTCCTATTTTTTTAATATCTAGGTTTTTATTGGCAATTATGCTCATATTTTATGTTTTTAGACATTCTCAAAATATTTAACATCTTTGGGAACATGCTATAAAATTTATTGGGAGTGACGTAATTTCATTTTGGTTGTTGATCTAATGTTGATTAACATTGGATTTCTTTATGTATTTTATAGTATTGGTTTGTAGGCTTCTTTGCGGGTGAATTCTTTATTTTTCCACTCCCATCTTTCCACCTGTGCTTTCTCCCATTTCCTCCACAGCTGTGAGCTTCCCCATCCACTACCATCTCCTCTCCTTCCTCAAACCGACCCTCCTCTCTTTGCCTGAAATTTTTAAACTTTGAGATAGCCTCACCCCCTGTCTCCAGGCTGGCCTTGGAGATCCAGGTCTCTTAATGGTTCAGTTACAGTGCTGTGCTGGTTCGGGGAAGTGAGAAGAGTCTGTGGAAGGCTTGGCTCAGCTCCAGGTCCCTAGGCTGTGTCTGTGCCCTGTTGCAGCCTTAGGCAACACTTGCCTGAGGGCTGCCTTTCCCCCCTTGGTAAGATCAGCCATCCTGAAATGATGAGCCTGGCCCTGGTCCCTGTCTGCAGTACTTTCAGTTTTCTTTACCCTTCAGGTTTGAGCTCTTTCAGGCCTGGAGCCTATCAAGTCTGTTTTTCTTTTTTTCTTTTTTTTCTCTGCCTACAATTTTGTGTTCTATTTTTGTTCTGTGGATTTTTTTATCTGAAAATCCCACTTAGACCTTTTTGTTTTGTTTTGTTTTCTCTTTTTACTTTTATGTTTAGAGCAGAGAAAGTTTTTGGATTGTGAACAAATTGATTCATCTTCACTCAGAAGACATCTCCACAAAGTTTCTCTTGTTCTAAATTTTTCTCGACAGTCTGTTCCTGTTTTATGAGTGTACATACATTTTCCTCTCTGAAGGAATTTGAGGTCTTTTAAAGTTCCCAATGCTTTCCCATAGTAACACTTTTACTAAGGTACAGTTCCTGTGAATGTTCCCTTTGTAATAGAGTGAATTTTTTCATTTATTTGGTCATTTTTCTATTCATATCCTTAAGTTTGAAGATCTCTTCTGGTGTTGGTAGCTCATATGGGCTCCATTAGAGATTCTGTAAAGCACTGAATGATTTGTTCCCCAGTCTTAGGTAAAAGAAGAGAAAAAAGAAATCTAGATTTATTCAGTTTTCTTCAGTGGTTTAGAAGGCAGTAAGTGCTTTGTGCATGGCTGAGATGGGGCTGTAGACAGAGACGTGGTGGAGGCCTTTTCTCCTTTGTTACGGAAGATTTCTTGCTGTGTGTCTGCTTTGAAAGCCATGAACTGTCTTCTCCTGCCTACCACCTGGCTGGTGAGGCTTTCTGAAGGATTCCTCTCTTTCTCCTCCCTGTCTCCTTCCACCTCACTGACCTTTCCTGGCACCTCCAGCACAAGTGTAGTGTCAGGCAGTTTCTGCCTTTCATGAATTCCAGCTGGGGAGACCCAGAGAGGGTTGGAATTGGTGTCCATATTGGTTTCTGTCCTCATCTCTGATCTAGGAGGTGGGCACTACATGCAGAAAAGAAAACCCACCAGGGGAGCGTTCTCAACATCATGCTGCTCTTTGCTACTTCTTAGCAATAGTGAGTAACCAAAATAATGGTTCCCATTACAGACTAGATTCACTACTGGTTCAGAGAGTTTTTTAGCACCAGGAACTCAAATTAGTACATTACAAGGGTTTTATCATGAGATAATGAAGAATAATGCTCAAAGTATTGGACTCAAGAATCAAAGGACCTGGATTTATGTCAATGGCACACAATTGTTCTTCAGTATAAAATGGAGTTTGTATTATAGTTGTCCCTCAGTATCCATGAGGGATTGGTTTCAGGACCTCCACAGATAAAAAAATCCATAGATGCTCAAATCCCGTATATAAAATGGCCTAGTATGTAATTATGAATTCCTTAACAGCATTGTTGTGTATAGCAAGTGAAATATGTTGTAATGTCATGGTGAAACCATTGTAAACTTGTCTTATACTACCATAAAATAGTCTTACTATCTTGTATTTTTTAGTTGAAGTACAGTCAGTTATAATTTGTCAATTTCTAGTGTACAGCACAATGTCCCAGTCATGCATATACATATATATTTATTTTCATATTTTTTAATTAAAGGTTATTACAAGATACTGAGAGTTTGTATCATTTTTACAAAATTCTTTCTTCATCTTAGATCAGAGCACTTTTTAAATTTAGTACTTGTTTGCATTTAAGGCAGAAATGTTCATTTTAGCATTGAGTTCATTGAAGAAAATACTATTTTTCAAAGTTACTGAAATCAGCTAAATATTTGCTGTCGATATCTCCATGAATAACACCTGATCCTTTTATCTAATATGCAGGAAATATGATTATCAAATTAATAAATTGAATACATTCACAGAGGTATCAGTTTGTAGTTCTTTATATTAGTATAAATAATCTCTTGCTTTACTTTGAGTTATTTAAGGTAGGAAGATAATAAATCACAGTGGTTTGGGTTTGAATACTGTTTTTTTGCCCACTGTGTGACCTTGCAAGTTATTTAAGTAATCGATCTGAGCCCTCATATAAACTAGAGAAAGTAAATTCCAAGTTTGTTTGAAGATTATATGACTTAGCATGTGTAAAACTTAACACATGTACTTGTGCTTGGTGTGTAGTAGTTGCTTAATAAATGACAGCCATGTTGCTGTACTGAGGATCTCAATGTCTTTCTGCTTAGAAAAGAGTAAATTGAATCTTTGACTATGTGTTATTTCAAGATGACTGTAAATAATAGTAACATATTGTTGATAAAATGATTGTTCTTTTTTTCCCCCTTGTTTTGGTCTTAAATCATAGGGCCCCTGGATTTAAAAGTTTTCAGCAACAAGACAGTCAGGAGCTTCTTCATTATCTGCTGGATGCAGTGAGGACAGAAGAAACAAAGGTTGGGTTTCTTTATGTTTATCATGTATACTCTTTAAGAAGAGGGCACAAAACTGAAGGAATTAATTTTTACCAAAATTTTTGTGTACAGTTGAGAATAATTTGATTTTTTTAACTATTTATTGTCCCCTTGTTCTTTTTTTTTTTTGCCTCTTCTACTATAAGATTATTTTTTTCATCCTTTCACAATCCTATTTTCCTTTATTAGTTAATACTCTTTGGCTATAAATAACAAATTAATTAAAACTAGCTTAAAAAAGAATGGGGAATGTAATAATCCAGATGAAGGTGGATATAGGACAGGAAGGTTCTTGGGAATCCAGAGACTATTCTCCTTTTTGCCCCCAGTTTCGCTGGCTCTGTAGATTTTCTTTATTCATCTGTCTGCGGACAGAGTAGTGTTTTTGCTTCTCTGTCTGAGTGGTACCACATGACCACCATGGTTTGCATGTTGCAGCTCCACGTGTATAAAAACGAACCTGGCTATGTGTGAATCCCAATTCTAAATTTCCAAAAGAGAGAAACTTTGTTATCCCATGCTGGATTAGGATATAGTCAGGGACCAAGGGATTGGGGTTCCAGCCTCCTGGATCAGGCAATGTTTCTGAGTAAAGAAGGACTGGATAGATTTCCCAGTGTTTATTGTAATCCTCTCCCTTAATTGAGTGGCTGTTGGTTGACTTCAATATTAAATTAGTTATATTCACCTTTTTTGGTGGGGTCCTATGCGAATAGGATACAATTTTCCAGACAAAATGCAAGATATTGAAGGTGTCAAATACACAGCACATGTCCTCCATTGCCCCCATTTCTCACTCACAGCAGACCTTGCTAATCATTCATAACAACTCCACTGAGTCAGGATTCAGTCTTAGAATCATTCTCAACATAGCACTCTGGGCAGCCCCTTCCAATCATAATTGTCATAACAGGTGAAATCTATTTCCTGTTCAGGAGGAATGGAGGAATACCATTCTTAATCTATATATGAATATGTAGTAAAGCAACCAGCTGGAAGTGAAGTGCTGATATGCCTGTGGTGGGTGTTTACTATGTCACTAGGCATCGTGGACCCTTCTTTTTTTTAAATCCTGCTTTGAATTGTGCATAACATTGTAGTATTTCTTTTTTCCTAATGAACAGTTTTCAGTGAAGAAAGAGTTATCATTCTAATATTTTCTTATAAAGTATCTTAAAGAATGAGTTAATTGCTCCCTCCTGCTTCCAAAAAGTGTGCATTCCAATCCTATTCTTAATTAGCTGTTAAGAAACTTTCATACTAAATTAGTTGAATTCAGGTTCTGAAGGGGTCAGACCATTTCTGCCATCTATTTTTATATATTTTGATTATGAACTCTACCACTTTTTATTTAGATTTATGTCTGTCATCTGTCTTAGACTGTGATCTCCTCAAGGAATGGTGTCCCATGTGCCTTGCACATAGTAGGTGCTCAGTGAATGTTTCTGAATATGTTGTCTGTGCTTACCCTTTAAATGGACAATTGAGAATTTGAATGGGGGAGAAAACAGTCTCTTAAATGAGTTATACTGGCTAGTTTCTTGGGGATTTGCAGTTATTTTGAATATAATTTGAATAAATTGTTAAATTGACAGTAATTCTGCGTTATATTTTATTTGTGTATTGTTTTAAAAAATCAGTTAAGAGATTTATAATTAGTTGAGTTTTGAGAACATTAGCACAATCCCCCAAGCTAATGTTTGATCACATTTTCTTAGATCTAGAAACTGATACCAAGAATGAAGATTCAAACCGAAGTCTTCCTGACTACCAAACTAGTGATCTAATTCTATACAATACTGCTTATTAAAGCTTAATTTTAATGCTTGGTCATCAGTGACTAGTATAAATAGTACATTTTTAAAGCTTGTTATTTAAAATTTAACCATGATTATTTCACTATTTGAAAAAGTGTTAAATCTGATTCAATAACTAATATATTGATACTCTTACTGAAGGGGTTGATACAAGGCAGCAAGGTGGAGAGAGATGCTCTGTCTTTGTATTATGAATAGTAAACACGTTTTGACCTTCTGAGCCTACAGATAACTTAGGAGTTGCTTTAGGACTCAGACTCTTAGTTCCTAGAATGATTTTTTTTTCCTTACGATTTGCAGAAATATCTTTAATGCATAGTGATCAAGTATCATTGTAAATGGAATTAAAGTTACCTCTTTACATTGGTTTTCTCTGTTGATATTACAAATAAAACAATAAACTCTATCCCTATAATTTTTTTCTTTTTACTTTTATTACTTAATGGCATTCTTTGTTACAGTTAAATTTTTTTTTTTGTCTTAATGGTGCATTGGGATTCACAGTATCTTAAAAACTCAGGCAATAAAAGCTCTTATCCTCCTTCCCCTATTTGAGGGTTTTAGATGGTGTGGCAGAATTAAAATGTCAAGCCTGTGGATCTGTTCAGCCTCATAAGCAAGGACAGTCGTGCCGGTCAGTTACAGTGTGTACCCAGGCAGGAGCTGCATTGTCTGGCCTGGGAACTCCACAGCTGTTAATCGGGCTGCTGTTGTAGTTTGTCACTGCCATGTGTTTTTTGATTGAAGGAACGCTACAGCAGTATGTCTGCCACCAGAATCTTTTAGTAATGATTAAAAACTATTGACCTCTTTTCATATTGTTTCATTAAAGTCTTTCTTATAACTATGAAGTTGAGGAATATAAAATGGTCCTGCTGAGTAGAGGGCTAAAGGGATCATCTGTGCAAAAATTGTAAATTTTTTATGTGTGAAATAAAATCAAATTCACTGTAAGAACTTCTTCTATAAGCAGTCTTTTCAGCTTAGAAATACATGCTTCTTCACTTTTTTCCTTTTAATTTGAGCTATCACTAAATTAATGATACTACATTTTTATTATAGTCTCAAAGATGTATCACTTTAATACATTATTGGGTAAGATTATTTTAAACGTAGAATATCTCAGCTAACTTAAATTGAGTTTTTTGCATTCTTATTTTTGAAAGAAGTTTAATATGAAGATTGAACTAGTTGAACCTTGATATGCTAACTGATTAATATGCTGCAGTTGTTAGCAGCTCCCTGACCAAAATCTTTTTTTTTTTATCTAAATGGTTCAAAGCACAACTGTTAATGATGAAAGGTTGTAGATGGACCTGTTCCCATTTATTGTATTCAGCATGATGAATTACCTATTAACTAAATCTTTAACAGTTTAGAGCAGAGAATATAAATTTGTGGCTAAGATACAATAAAAAAATAAAATTCTAATAGTTTAAAAGTTATTAATTTAAACAGCTTCATTGGTTTTTTACTTTTTTTAAAAGAGTGTTATCGTAGCTTACATTTCAGAGTGTGGTAAAGGCTCATTAAATCATATTGAACACATCTGAATTAGTAAAATGTTCAAATTGTACAATAACTTTACAGACTTCTAAATTAAGTTTATCTTTAGTAGCTGGAGAGGCTTTTTATAGTTGTATTCAATATTTATAGGTAAACATAGGTATTTATTGGAATCTTTCATTTAAGTCCATTAAATATTTCTCCTGCATGGAATTTGTACCATTCTAATTTGCTTATTTTAGTTCAATAAATTCTTTTTTCAAGGTGCAAAAGTCAACTTTAGCTTAGACTCTGCATGAGTTATATCTATTTTCAAATTTATTGAGTCTGAATTGGAGATTATTTCAATATTTAATAGCTTCTGGGATACATTATTTTACTTTCCTTCATATATATATTTTAAGACAGCATGACATGATATGGATTGCTGTATGTTTACTTTTATACCCTACTGTGCATTTATTTAAGTTTTTGAATCTTGCATTAACTTTGAGAATGCACTGGAACAGAATAGTGATCAGTTCTAGGAAATATAATATACTGATCATAGGCTAGTTAATAAACAAAACTCGATTTCATAATTACTGGGGGAGGGTGTTAAAATTTATAAAACATATCACATATAGAAGAATGTGTACAAATATACATATGGTTTAAAGCATAATGTAAATACTATTAGCACTCCTGCCTACCACCACCCCCAGAGTTAAAAAAAACAAAAAGAATGTTATTAATACCATAGAAGCTACCTATTCCCTTTTTGTCCAAACACTTCTTCATCGGAGGTAACCACTATTTTGACTTTTACAGAAATCATTTCATCGATTTTTCTTACAGTTTTGAGAGCTACCTCTGTATGCTTAAACAGTATATAGTCTGATTTTATAAAACTGAGTAGCAAACACAAACCTATTGTCATTATTGGATGAAGGTTCCCAAAAGATGATGATTTGAAAGAATCTCTGGAGCATAGTCTGGCTTTGGCTTCCCAGAGTTTACAAGAGCTCTTTCTGGGGAAGTCAGGAGGCAAGATGATGACTGTGTTCTGAGCCACGATTGTCAAAGTCAAAGTGACTGGCAGAGATGTAGGAGAGACTAGGTACTAGCTCTCTGGTCCAAAAGTTTGGAGGTTGCTCTGTATTTTCTGCTTCTGAGTTCACCATTGCCCATCACATAGCTCTCAGGAACAGGTCCAAGTAGAACAGTTCTGGCGGGTAATGTGTATCCTCTGCTGACCCAGGTAGCAGGGCACAGAGGGGAGAATAAGAACATTAGTAGTTCATTCCCCATGTATTCTGTTCTTGGATTAAAAACATGGTACAGCGGCAGAGGGGATCCTGGTGTTGACAGAACATCCATCTCCTAAGTCTGATATACTCCAGTCTGGATTGGTCACCTCCCATGTTAGATGCATAGGCATCATTCTGGAATTCTTCCTAACTGTGATTCTGGGAATTCCCTTTGCCTTTCTTATGTGTCAACCCTGCTGTTGCCTGTAAACCACGTTGTTGTCTTTCTTGATTTATGCTCTCATTTGGTGGTGTATATATATGTGTATTTTTTCCTTTTTTTCAAAAAGTGGCATATACTATTTATACCTCTGTCTTTTTTTCAGATAACGTTGTAGCAGTCTTTCCATATCAAAAGATAGGAAGCTTCCTTCTTTTTTATTTAAGCTCAACATATGTAATTCCTCATTGATTGTCCCTTGTATGTTGTTTCCAGTGTTCTTGCTTTTGTAAACAGTGCTGTGATGAATAATGTATATGTTATTTTGCATGTGTATATCTGTGTAAGTACAGAAATGAGATTGCCTGATAAAATGATGCATACATATGGAATTTTAATAGCTATTACCAAATATCCCAATAATATCATTATTGACAACAAATTCAAATAAAACTACAATTAAGATTTGTGGTATTCTTGCTGAGGACAGTATTCTGGACTTTAGTCACATATGTGTATGTAAGTAAAATAATCTGCATGGAGATCATAGTTTAATATGTTTCTTATACATTAAGATTTTCTTCATAGATAAGAAATTTCGTATGGTCTGTTACTCTTTATCCTGATTAAGGAATAAATCATTTTAGGGACAGAGTAGGAGAGAGGGAGGGGGGGTGAGAGACAGGGAGAGATAGGGGAGAGAAGGGATAAGAAGGAGAACTTACTCTAACCTATAAGAAAAATGAGACTAGGCTGCTTGCTTTTGGCAGACTGAGAAAAACACTTTAAACGCAAGAGAGAACCTAACCATAGGGACCTTGGCTTTTGTTTGGGGGAGAATTTGGCATTAGAGAAGTATTCATGGAATTTTAGAACTGAAAGAAAGGACATATTTAATTTTTTTAAATTCAATTATTTTATTTTACATACTAGGGAACTGAAATCCAGTGTACCTTGCTGTTTGAAAGTCCTCCTCTTACTAAGAGAATGAGGCTTGAGTTGACTGTTATTAAACCAGTTTCTGTTCACAGGAACACAAAATAATGCTTTGAAAGAATACATTCTAGTATAGATTCTTATTAAATTCTTATTACTTTGTTTTATAGCGAATACAAGCTGGCATTCTAAAAGCATTTAACAACCCAACTACTAAAACTGCTGATGATGAAACTAGAAAAAAAGTCAAAGGTATGTTGATTCTTTCACTGTTAAAATTTTCTTCTTAAAAAAACTTTTTTCTAGAAGAAAATATTAAGTTTTGTTTGTGGGAAAAAGAACTGAGCTTTATGTGAACTAATTCTCTGAAGTAGCAGTCTTAAAAGGAGGGTGTACTTAACTCCTGTGGCTGCAAGATAGTCTAATGGGCCATAGAAAGAAAATGTTAGAAGGTGGTGTGGGTATAGCTCAGTGGTAGAGTGTGTGCTTAGCATGCATGAGGTCCTGGGTTCAATCCCCAGTGCCTACATATAAATGAATAAATACTTAATTATCTCCCTCTACCCCTCCCAAATTAATTAATCTTAAGAAAGGAAGAAAATGTTAGAATCCATGTGAATTTTTAAAAATAAAACTAACATTAAATACACAGATTGACACTGATGTCCTCAGATGAAGTATCCTATGGGAGACTAGAAAGGTTGTTGAAAGTAGCAACCTCACTTTGAAGTTCACTTTTATCACACTGTATCATTTTGCAGTTGAAGTTTGCTTAGATAATCAGATTGTGGACATTGTCTAGTTTTAACTAGACAAAATGTGTAAGTGCTGCAGAGATTCCTGTAAGGAAGCCATTTACTAAAGAGAGTACTATTAAGTCAAGCATACATGTCAGCTCCCAGTGTTGACTCTTCATTGGCCAAAATATGAGGCAAGAACGTTAACTAACCAAAGCTGATCATTTACAATGATCAGTATTTAAGTGTGGGTTTATATCCCATGTCATGGGCAATTTACCTTGTCCTAAATGTATATTCTGCCTTGAGATAATAACTAATGGTAATGTGAAGTCATCTTTTTTAGAAAACTTTAAAAAGTATTATTTGTATTTTATTTATTCTCTTTTCTAACCTCTGTGTTTTGGTAGCATTATATGTATATTCTGTATGTATTTAATTTATAAAAAAATACATACATTATGATTGTATATGACAAAATTTTATATACAGTTAAAGGTTCAAGATTTTTAAAAATATGGATTCCCAAGGATGCTGTTTGTTCTTTTGTTTTGAAATAGTGCCATCTAGTGCATGTTGAGGATAACTGCTCAGTTTTTCTTTCACCCCCTTCCAGTTTTGTAATCTCACTTATTTTCAATACTTCATGCAATTTTTCTTAATGAAACGTCTTAGTTTAACATAATTTCTAAGTAGTTATCATCATAATTAATAAATGTTTATTGATATATCCAGATAAAAGTCTGCTCTGTCATTCAGTGCTTCAAATAATGTTTGATTTAAAATGTTGTTTATATGAAATTTGAAGGTAGAGATCCAAAAAGGATAGAAGTCTGAAAGAGGAGTGGATAGGTTTGTGAATATGTTTTCCCACATGGTTTATGATGGAAAATTTCCAGCTTCCATTAGAGGGAATAGTATAATGAAGCCCATGTGTGTGCCTATCACCCTACTGTGGTGTATTATGTTCGTCTTGTTTTCCCCAACTCCATATTATTTTGAAGCAGATCACAGGCATAGTTTTATTTTATTTATAAATATTTTGCAAACAGAATAGTTTTAGCATTTTTTATATACTTGAGGAGTAACATATAGCTGAGTTATTAATTGCCATGTTAATTCTTTACACTATGCATTGTTTACTTGTCTGTTACTATTCTGTTGTTTCCACAGTTACGGTCCTGGCATCTGTAATCCTAAACCATAATCTCTTTTCCCATCCCTCTGCCTACTTCTGAGTTAGGCACAGAGGCTTCAAAGAGTCTGGTGGGAGCAGTTGAGTATGATGTGAATAGCGGTTACTATTCTATGTATTTTACTTCTTAAGTTTAAGAACAGTTTGTTATTTCTTGGAAACTACTGTAGTTGATAGTCACATTTTCTCTGTGGAATTACTAAAGGAGAAAGATATAACAGAGAGAAAAATATGGTATGGATGTCTACCTTATTTAGATTTCTTCTGATTCAACAGAAAAAAAAAGCCTGTTACATTGTTAGGTTGATAATTGACATGTTTTTTACATTAAAAAGTATTTTTTTTACAGCATATGGAAGAGAAGGTGTGAAAATGAACTTCATAGATCGTATCTTTATTGGTGAATTAACTAGCACGGTCATGTGTGAAGAATGTGCAAATGTAGGTACTTCGAAATTCGCTTCAGTACAGAATAGATTATGGTCACATTGTTTTCATTTTCTTTCGCACATAATTATCAGTAGTCATTTATTTTTATTTGTGACAGATGACTACGTAATAGTTTTTGGAAGTCTTTTAAAAATAAATCCTTCACATAATGTATAAATAAATATAATGTATAAATAAACATAATGTATAATTTTTCAAAGTAAATGTGTTATCTAGTTTTTCCTTTTGACACACCTGTGAAGTTCATTTAGCCTATTTTAATATGCTCCCATGTGTTAGCTGCTTGTTTGGATTGAAAATGAAAGAGAAATTTCTGTGGAGAGAGTAACTATGTTATATAAGTATGCATTCCCCTCAATTATAATCTCAATAGTAATAATTTAATAATTTAATAGTAATAATAATTTAATAATTTAACATAATGTAGGCTGATCTACTTTAAAATATTTTACATTTATATGATTTGTTGAAGGTTTTTTTTTTTTAAAGCAGACTTGACTCATCTTTGAATTTAGTGATAATTTTCATTTTGAATGCCATCTGTACTTTAACAACAACTTAAATCACGTACAAATTTTTATAGGTTTTCAGTTGCTTGGTAAGGAAAGCATATGACTTAGAGTATAATGGGTTTAAACTTCTTTCAGATTTTAATCATAAAAGAGAGTCTTTGTGTTCATTTTCCTCTCCCAGAGTCTGAATCACCTTCCTATCTCTCTAGTCTTACAAAGTCAGGGTTTTATATTATATCTCCTTCTAGCCTGTCATACTGAGGCACAGACTGTGTCACCATGATATTATGGTTGACCCTTGAACAACATGGGTTTCAACTGCAAGGAGGCGCTTACGCAAAAATTTCTTTTCAGTAAATACTACTACAGCACCACACGGTCTGCGTTTGGTTGAATCTGTAACTGCAGAACCCTGGATAAAGAGCCCTGACTATAAAGTTATACTCTGATTTTTGGCTGGTGGGAATGATGGGGGTCAGCACCCTTAACCGCTCCCCCGCCCTCCTGCTGGCATTGTTCACTGGTCAACTCAACTTACATTTCTAGTGTATTCAACATAGAAGTTGATTTCTTTTTCACAAGCTAGACAGGAACTTTTTTTTTTACTTAAAAAAATATATATATGTTTTTATTGAAGTATAGTCAGTTTACAATGTGTCAATTTCTGGTGTACAGCATGATGCTTCAGTCATACATGAAGATACATATATTCGTTTTCATATTTTTCACCATAAGTTACTGCAAGGTATTGAATATTTGGAGAGGAACTTTTAAGACAGAATTATACTGAAGAATCTACGAAACACAGTCAAGCTCTGGCTTTTTCATGGCTTTTTCTTAATATTTCATGTTTATTTTATGGCCTTAATTTCACCAAAAATGTGTTTATATCTTCAGTTTATCAGTTTTATTAAACACAGTTTATTTTAAAGTTACTTTAAATATTACAGGTTAGTCATATTAGCAGAATTATAAAATTCAGCTGGGTTGCACTTATTGATGTTTTGAAATATCTTATTTTGATTAGCAAAATAAGTGGCTGTATCCAATTAAATTAGTTTGTTCCAGGAACATTTTTTAACTTAAAATTTTAAGTTGCCTGGGAAGTTTGATTTCTTTAAGACTTTACAAAACTACATTATCTATATTAGAATTCTAACTGAAGTTCTCAATATGTTTTCTTTTTAAGATCTCCATGGTGAAAGATCCTTTTATTGATATTTCACTTCCTATAATAGAAGAAAGGGTAAGGAGAAAAAACTTTAGGTCTTTTGTGAAGGGCATTGATTCATTCATATATTTAGACATTTGTTCAGTGTATTGTCAGATATCTGAGAGTCATTGCTTTTTGTAGATACTAATTGAGTTGGTACAGTGTATTTGATATTGGAGGTTGTATACACATGAATAAAGTATGATATAGTTCTCAAGGAATTTAAGCCCTTATGTTTTATGTTTTGAGAATTAATGTTAAGGAAACTGTCTACATTTCAAATGAGTTAGAAATTTTCAAAAGTAGATTACATCCAGAATTTATTTTCTGAACAAGTTTTGTGTTGTGTCCATGGTGTATCTATATAGGTTTCAAAGCCTGTACTTTTGGGAAGAATGAGTAAATATAGAAGCTTACAGGAGACAGATAGTGGTCAGTACAGTGGCACTGTCACTGTAGAGAATACTCATCAACCCCAAGCCACCAAGAAGCATTCTTCATCTAAAGATAAGGTAAGATTATATATATTTGTGAGACAACCTTTTTTTTAAAAAAAACTTTTTATTAAGAAAAACTTCAAAAGTATACAAAGTAGGGGAAAAAGTATAACTCCCACATACCCTTTTCTCAGCTTCATAGTTATCAGCTCACAGCAAATCATGTTTTATCTGTATCTATCCCACATTCTCCTTCTCATCCGGTATTTTGAAATAAATCCCAAATATATCATATACTTCAATGTATATTTCTAAAAGGTGCTCTTTTTAAAGATATACCATAGTACCATTATTATACCTAAAAATATTTTAAAAACTTCTTAACATCACAAACATCTAGTCATAGTTTAAACTTCTGCAACTATAAAATACTTGCTTTTTGTTTTTGCTTTTTCAAGCATATTTGAATTTAAGATCTAAAAAAGATCTATAGATTGTCATATTTCATGAATGTCTTAATCCACAGATTCTACCTTTTTTTTTCCCTTTATAATTTATTTGTTGTAGAAATCAGGTCCTTTTTTTCATCAGTTTCTCACATTGCCACATCAGTAGTTTTTTGGGGTTTTTTTTTTGTATGTTACAACATTCTGCATGTTATTGTAGTTCATTTTACATGTAGTAATTCACCTGCATGTTGTTAACTGGTGCCTCTGTCCCTTTTATTTCCTCTGTAAGGCAGTTAGAGCTAGAGGCCTAATTAGTTTTAAGTTTGGTTATTTACTTAATTTTTGGCAAGAAAACTTTTAAATGGTGGTGTGTATCTCCATCAGGACGTGCACATCATGTTTGACCCATCTTTCTGTGATGTTATCAGTCACTTGACGACCATTGTGTAGACCCATTATTTCACTAGAGGCACACCTGGTTGTTGAATTATAGTGTATAAATTTAAATAAATCAATCTGAACTTGTACCTCATTTTAAAATAAAAACCTTTTTACGTGATATGATTTGTACTAAATTGGCAATTGATGTATTATCACATTTAATTTTCTCTGTTGGAAGGCCCTTTAAATGACAAGACCAGAGAGTATGCAAAAGTTTACACTTAAAAAGCCTCCCTCATAGCACTGTTCCCCAAAAGTCCTGTTCCCTCTTCATAAATAGGTAACCATTATTGTTGGTTTCTTGTGTAAAAGTTTATTTTTAAATTAGAGCTTTTTGTTAGCATATCTTCTATTGATTATGGTTTAGGTGGATTTAGGAAATGGATTTCAGAGGTACTAGAAATAGTATTTTAGTAAATGTGAAATGTTTAAATAAGACTTATTGGCATTTATTTTCAGTAAGGTCACAAGATTCTTTTCTCTGAAAACACTGTCAACTTACAGAATCAACTAATTCATGGCAGAAAATGTACAAGAGAATTGCCATCTGGAGAAGATAAAGCTGTTGTCATACACCAGGAAAATGAAAACCTTGAACTGAATGGAGATTCTCCATTGTTTGCAAGCATCATGAACACTGAGTCAGCTCTGACTGACAGTCCTACCGATGGCAGTGAAAAAGAAGCCAGCCTTTCTGAAAGTAGTGTTGATGCTGACAGCGAGCCCTCAGAATCTGAAAGTGCCTCTAAGCAGGCTTTGTTGTTGAGATCCAGCAGTGGCTACTGTGTGCACACAAATGGGCACCTTCGTCGTCCATCAGAGAGTGAACCACTCACCAAGGAGAGTGACAGTGATGATGACAGAGTGGCCGAAGCTATTTCTGAACTTCATTTGAGAAGCACTGTGACTGGAGATAGGGATTTTGACAGAGAAAATCAACCACTAAATGTTTTAAATAATTTATGTTTTACAGAGGACAAGCATGTGGTGTCTCACAGCCCCCAAAATGCTTTTCAGACCCTTTCTCAGAGCTACATAACTTCTTCTAAAGAATGTTCAGTTCAGTCCTGTCTCTATCAGTTCACGTCTATGGAATTACTAATGGGAAATAACAAGCTTCTGTGTGGAAACTGTACTGAAAAGAAGCAGAAGTACCAAAAGGAAACCAGTCCTGCAGGTAAGTATTTAGCTTACTTTTTTTGTTTTTTCAAGTATTCATGGATTATCTGAGAATCAGTGACTAATGGGTTATAGATCCCAAACAGAGGAACCTAAGAACCTTGTCTCCATACTTCAGCTGCTCGGAAGCCAGGGGTTGTCTTACTCATATTTATACATCAGCACTGAAGACGCTGATTGGGCAGAGTAAGTTTTCAATAGATTTTGTTGAAATAAATTGAAGAACAAGAAATATCCATCTCTGCCTTGAAAATGCAACTTTACATAATCTTATTTCAGAGGATTGGCTATCTGAAATCTTTCCAGAAGACATTTCCCTAAGACTTAAAATTGTATTACTAGTGAGATTAATGTTTACAAATCCCATCAATCTAGTGTAAAGTCATATCTTAAGATACAAAGTTGAAGATTTTAAGTAACTATGTTATAAAGCTAGCAGTATAACAACTATGAAAAGTGGAAAGGGGGGATTTGTCAAGTAAGAAATTTTCAGTGCACCTCTAGCCTTGATTAAATGGAGAGAACATTCTGATTCTTAGTGACTAGTTGTTTGAGAATGTAGGTTTTGTTATTCAGGTATGGTGAGGCCAACAGGTCAGGAGATGATTGCCACTGAAATGGTAGTTTATTACTTAACAGTTCCAGTAGTTTATTACTTACAGTTCCCAAGAGGAGGGGGCATGCTAAACCATGCCACGCAGGGCCACAAGGGGAAGCACCAGGGTTGGTCAGGAGACAGAGTGATGGGGAAAACGTGGACAACAGCCTTTATTGTGGTTTCCGAGGGAAGGGATGGATGAGGCAGGGTAGACAGGTTTAGGATTGAGTAGTTTTGAATAATTTAAGTAGACTCTGAGGTATAGGGGCTGTCTCTAGCTGTCTGGTAGCTGGCCCTGGTATGATTAGGATGGGTGAATGGCAGCCTAACATATTAGCGCCCAATAAAGAAGGTGGTGGGGTATGGGCTTTGGATTGGGTGGTTTGCATATGAAAGGCACACTTAGGTTGTTTGCTATCTAGGAATGAGCTAGGTCTGGGAGAAGCCCTCTCCATTGTCAGCAAGGCCCCAGATGTCAAACCATCAGAATGAAGACATGCTTAATACATTAGTAATTAAAGAAATATCTCAATGGGAGAGGAAGAAATGCCAGCTTACATTAATGCAACTTAAATGTGCAATTGACCATATTCAGATCCTATCATAAGTCCTTTCTGGCAGCCTCTTACTGAAATGCCCCATCGTCCCCATGATGCACGATCTCCTTTCGCTGCAGTGAGTAATGACCCAATTTTTTTCAACTACAGATGTGTTTGTGGTGGTCTTTGGAGGGCACTGGCATAAGTCACTACTGGTCTATTTGCTTTCCAGCTTCCAAAATTATGTTGGAAGTGTCACTTCCCCTATTATTTCTCCTTATAGGTGCATGCCTAAAAAAAAAAATAAAAAAAATCCCTTTTATTTTAGTGAAGTTTTGGAAATGAGTAGCGGTTCCCTGTAACCACAAGTTAATTTCTTTTTTAACATTTTCAAAACTGTGGTATGATGCATCTATATAAATGTTTACCATATTATATGGTGGATAATGTATAAAATGGAATTTTACAAATAAATTTATTATATTATATTTTATGCAGAAAAGAAAGCAGAAGGGGTGTATACTAATGCCAGGAAGCAATTGCTCATTTCTGCTGTTCCAGCTATCCTAATTCTCCATCTTAAAAGATTTCATCAGGTAAATTCCCTTTAGTATCACTATGGTAATTTTTATCATCTGTTTTGCAGACCCCTAAGTCTTGTGGAATAGTGTCAAGGATTAGCCAGTAGTTTATTGAATTTAAAAATTTGTCATTTGACATTTGGGATTTACTGCTTTTTCAGCCGTAATAGCTTATAATACTTTTCTAAGTAAAATTGTTTAACTCACAATATTTGAAGATTTTGGTAGGACCCTAAGTGGTGTGTGTGTCTCAGTGGAAAATAAGATTAAGAACCCTTAGAAGCAGGGAGATAGCAAAGTGCACATAGCTTTCTGAGCTTCTCATGATCCCAGTGAGAGGGGTACTTGAGCTAGCTGTGGCTGGCTGGGAATAATTACAAAAAGGGCTGCAAAGCAGGCCTCACTTTTGTCTGACTGTAATGGGAGAGAAGTTAAATATTTTTAATGCATCAGATTTTCTTTCAGTTATTTATAGTTTTATTCAATGCCTTCACTTTTTTTGCATTTGATAAAATGATTTTAAAGTTTCTCTGGAAGAATCTTTAATAATTAAAACAGGCTTTACTTTTGGTGGGGTGGTAATTAGGTTTGTTGGTTGGTTTGTTTTTTTATTAATGGAGGTACTGGGGATTGAACTCAGGACCTTGTGCGTGCTAAGCATACGCTCTACCACTGAGCTACACCCCCCCCCCAATAATTAAAGCAGTATAGTCAGTATTGTCAATAAATAAAACTCGAGTATAATTTAAAGCTCTTTTGTTATGATACAGGACGAATCTTGAATCATTTGGGACGGAGGCTAGATTATTCAGTAAAGAACTTAGGAAAGATAGGTGTTTGAATAAATAAAAATTTAGGATTTCCTTCTATACCATATATATCGGTACTACTTTCAGATAAATGTTTTTAATTGTATCAAACAGATTATCGAAAGACTAGAAGAAAACTTGATGAATATTATTAATCTGACCTCTGTGTGAAAGATTTTCTAAGTATAAAAAAACCCTTAAAAGAAATCTCAAGGGAAGGGATTGAGAGCTTTGATTATATATCTGCAACATTTCAGGTGGGCCACAGATAAGCAGAAGGAGGTTGTTCTTTATACCCCCATCTCTATCCACAGAAATTAGATTAAGTTCTTGATTTTCTACAGCCAGCGTTGCAGAAGCTCAGTGGGAATGAGATGGTCATGGAGAGCAGAAGCAGATGTATCTTGTCTCATTACAGCAGAATGCTTAATGGAAGGTGTGTATCTGCAGCAACTCCATGTGAACAGGATAGGGTCATGCCAGACCTGAAAAGCTAATTTCATGATGTATCACAGTTATTTTATATTTGGTACTTGCTACCCTTTTAGAAACAATTTACAGAAAGAATTCGTGCTCTTAAAGGGAAACATTTCTACACATCTTTGTCCTTTCTTGTTCTCAAGCTAAATATAATGTCTGCAAAGCTACATTCTCACTCCCTGGGACTGTGGGAGCAGAGTCTCTAAGCAGTGTCTCTGCTTCTGTCTTTTTTTCTGAGGGGAGGGAAATAGCTCAGTGGCAGAGCGCATGCTTAGCATGAAGGAGGTCCTGGATTCAATCCCCAACACCTTCATTAAAAAAAATACATAAGTGTTTTGTTTTTTTTTTTAAGAAAGGTAACAAATAGGCAACAGATCTGTAGTAAAATTATGTGATTAGTATGCAGATAAAAAAACTAATCATGGGTCAGGGTTATGGCTCAGTGGTAGAGCACATACTTGGCATGCATGAGGTCTTGGGTTCAATCCCCAGTACCTCCTCTAAGAATAAATAAATAAGTAAACCTAATTACCTCCCTCTCAATAATAAATTTTTTTTTAATTAAAAAAAAGATTACTCATTGAGGTAAGTCATGAAAGCCTTGCATTAAAAGGTCTATTTTATTTCAGATTTAAAGTATGTTCTTATTCCCATAGAGTCCATTTCTCCTTGTGGATTTCCTGTCTAATACCTTTGATAGTCTTTCAGCAAGTTTTTATCATTACTTAACACAAAGAGTATATTTTTCAAGGCCTGCCTTTGGAAACTAAAAATAGAGAAAGAAATAGAGCTTACTTAAGAACATGAAGGTTCATTTTGACTTATATAATATGTAATATTTACTTTTATAGATAAAAAATTTGAGTGGTCAGGCTCTTTCTGTTTTAGTGAATGAAAATTACTGAATTTTAGAGCTGTAAAAGATCTAATCTAACCCATTTGCAACCATTTTCTGACTTGATCTAGAGGAGGTTGTCAAGAGTCAAGTTAGCTGTTAACCACTCACTGAGTCAGGCCTAGGATACAAGACTCCTGATTCTTAGTTGAATACATTTTTATGGTAGCGTATGTGTCAGTAGCTTAGCTTTTATTGTGATGAATTTATTTTTCCTTAGGTGTTGAGAGGCACAGTGAAAGTAATTATTTCCATATTGTTGTGGTAAAAATACCTGTGTAAATGGATGATCTTTGCAGTAATAGTTTAGGAAACCTAATTGAAAACTTAGTCATATATCAGTTTTGGACTGTTCATTACTCATGTTTTTATATCTATGAAAAAACTAACTTCCAGGATTCCTATTTTGGTTTTAATTAACAAATGCAATGATCTAGATTAATTGTTTCATTAAGAAAATTTTTTTTCTTTTTTTTAAGTCTGGCTTGAATCTTCGCAAAGTAAACAGACATGTAGATTTTCCATCTATGCTTGATTTAGCACCATTCTGTTCTGCTGCTTGTAAGGTATAGTATATCATTAAGATATTTAATTGACTTGCAAATAATATGCTTCAGAATATCTTATGTATTGTTTATTAGGCCATGTCTATCTCCCTTCCTTCCTTTCTTCCTTCCTTCCTTCCATTTAAAACGCTGAGTATGCCTTTTGTATTTTGGGAGATAGAATAAGTTGAAAAGATGCATAAAGCATCATTGAGGCATGGTGTTCATAAAGATCAAAGCTGTTTGTAAATGCTTCTAGAATCAGATAGTTGCTGAGAGAACCAAGCAGAATTTGTGTCCTTTCCTGTTCCTTGTGAATGATGTGCTTAATTGGTAGTAGTTTTAGCATTGGAGGAGTTCTTTATATTTTGTTAATCAATGTACTAGTGCATTATTTTTCATGCCATTTCAGGTACACTACTGAGAATAGTGTACTTGTCAACTGAGTATGAAACTTTAAAATTGCTAATGCTTTAATAATTAAATGTAGAACACAAACTGGTTCATAATTGCTCATATTTACATGTAAGAACTCTGTAGGTGAAATTGATGTTTTCTGTGAGAGAACCAGACAGTTCTGGGGTATAACACGTTGTCCTGCCCATGATTACTGTTTAGCAGTCTTAGGTGTTTTGGTACATAATAGAATGCTTATTGAACTTAATACTTTGATTGATCAAAACAAAAATATCTTAAATGCAACATCATCTGCTGTGGAATACCAGCGTCTGCTGTAGAATAGCAGCCCTGTCTGTCAGTTAGTAACATTCATTATTCATGGAACTTGATAATGTGGTAAACAAAATGATAAGTAACAAACTATTAAATTTATGAGAACACATTTTTTAAAAGTATCTATTATGGAGAATTTCTAACCTACACCAAAGTGGACAGAACAGTGCAATGAACCTCTAGCACTCATCCCCTAGCCTTAAAACCTTAGATATATGGCCAGTCCTGCCCTAGTCACAGACTCATCTACTTCCTCCTCTTATTATTTTGAAGCAAATATCAGGCATTTCATTCATAAATATTTTCCTGTGTATCTCTAAAAGATAAGAATCACTCTTCCCTTCATTTTTTTAAACACAGCCACAATACTACCTTCACACTTAAAAAAAAAACTATTTTTTTCATATTATCTAGTGTATATATTTCCAGTTGTCTAATAAATGAAATTGTTCAAATGAATTAGTATCCAAGTGAGGACTACATATCATGATTGAAAAATATCTTTCAGTCTCTTTTAATGTACAGTTTCCCTCCCATCTCTCCTCTTTGCAATTTGTTGAAGAAACTGGGTCATCTTTGTGATAGCTTCCCATAGTTTAGATTTTGATGATTATTCCTCTATTGTCTTTATTTCCTACAAATAGATAGTTGGACCTAGAGAGGCTAAAACAGATTCATTTTTGATATTCCTGCCCTGGTAAGGTGGTTTTTTCAATTTTTGAAACAGTGTAATACACTATTATATGGAAACATTATACTTTATTTAGCCAGTACCCAATTTATGGACATTTGGGCCTTCTCCAGTTTTTTGATATTACAGATAAATCCTGCAATTAATAGTCTGGTGCATGTCTTTCTGTATTTTGTTCATCTGCTTGTGAGAGAGAATCCTAGAAAAAAGGATTGGTAAATCCAAGATATATCCAATTATATATGTAATTTAGCTAAATAGCATGAAATAGTCCTGAATAGGGGTGTACCCTTTGCATCCCCACATGTGAGTACTCTTTTCCTTGTAGCCCAGGCAACAGAGAATGTTGTCCACCTTTTGATTTTGCTGGTCTAATACATGTGGGAAGGTATCCCAATGTAGTTTTAATATGCATTCTCTTATTTTAAGTAGGACGTGCATTTGACTTAATTTTCCTTATAATAAGATTTCACTAAATATTAACTCATTTGAGGTTTTTTTCTTTGTCTAAAAGGGTGTAAGTGTGGGAGATAAAGTTGTCTATGGTCTCTATGGAGTAGTGGAACACAGTGGCTCGATGAGAGGAGGTCACTACACCGCATACGTAAAAGTGAGAACACCCTCCAGGAAATTATTGGAACATATCACCGGAGAGAAAAACACTGTAGCTGGTATGCCATCCTAAGTTTATTTTATTCTTAAAAAACAAATGAATTCTTCCTATTCTGGAAGGGGTAAGTTATTTTATGAATACGTCAGATGGCTTCACTTTGTTAAGTGAGACATACCTTTAAGAGTACTTAGATGATAAAGAGAATCTTAAATATCATAAAACTGCACTCTGTAGGTGATGTGAGGGGACACCCAGTTTTTCAAGGTGTTAAGTCATCATGTATTGCAGTGGAGTAGCATTTTATTTAACAATACCATTAGTGTTTGAAGATGTATATACCAGGTCCTCAGGATACAGCTGGAGTTGAAATTTGCTGGTTTTGCTTATGGAACAGCAGACTAACTTTGTATTTTTTTTCTCTTTTAGTGCAAATGCTTCTGTTCCTTGAATAAATTAGTATTTACAAGACTATCTAACATTTCACTAGATATTTAAAGTAAAATAATACTAATATGAATGCTTTGGAAGAGTACATTATGGAAGATGGTTAACCCCCCCCACCAAAAAAACAGACTTGGGGGGAGGGTATAGCTCAGTGGTAGAGCGTGTGCTTAGCATGCATGAGGTCCTGGGTTCAATCCTCAGTACTTCCATTATAAATAAATAAATAAATACATACATACATACATACATACATACATACCTAATTACCTACCCACCCCCCCAAAAAAGGAAAAAAAGGAAACAGACTTATGTGATACAGTCTAGCATTAGATAAATATAGTTTGTGATGAATGTGTTGTTTATAATGTAAAGTGAGAACATACTTATTGTAAAATTAAACTTCTCTTTGTTTCACTAGGTTTCAAAGAACACGATAGTGAATCACCGGGCCAGTGGGTCCATGTTAGTGACACTTATGTGCAAGTGGTTCCGGAATCAAGAGCACTTAGTGCCCAAGCGTACCTTCTATTTTATGAAAGAATATTATAATTATTTCTTAATTATTAATGGTAATGACTATTTAGATCACTTATTTAAATGCTGCTACAATAACCATAATAGCGCAATGTGCCTTTGTAGTCTTTTCTCTTCTGTAGGAATAGCATGTCCTTCAAATGCTCCTGAACATTTTTACCATTTTGGTGAATCCTTTTAAAGTAAATTAAATTTACTAAATGCTTTCAAAATTATATTCTTAAAATAAAAGTAAACACATGTTTAAAAAAAATTTGTCTTGGAAAAAACTCAGAATTTATAGTAGTAGAGGAAACCCCTTTATGATGTGGCTTATTACAAGCATTCAGAAATGATGCTGGCTAAATCAAATCATTCCTTAAAACAGTTTTTTCCAAATGTGAGTCACATCCCACCTTTCTGTTCTCGTGTGTGTGTGTGTGTGTGTGTGTGTGTGTGTGTGTGTGTGTATATGCCATTTTTCCTATGCCATTTTTACGTATTATTTTTAACCTTTTTAAACTATAGTCTTGTTTTGAGCATATTCCACATTTTATGTGCTAGTTATATTTTTTTAATAAACAAAATAAATATGTAACTATTAAAGAAAAATTGTTCATTCATGTAGCACTCCACTTAGAATCATCTCAGGGCTATCCAGTGGTATATGTACACTGCTGCTGTGTGGGTATATGTACATTGCTGTAAGATATACTTAATACAATTGCCACTGTGACCTTGTCATATTTTGTATGATTCAACCATATAGAAAGCTTCAGTAATATGGATTTACAAATAATACATTGATTAGCTTATTGCTTTGAGGTTTTGAGAACTAGAAAAATGTTGAAATATTTTATCAACATATTTGCAGTCTATTCATGACAGAGTTGAGGACAGTTTGCAAGTGATTAGCCAAGGTCAAAATATATCTATAGATAATTGTAACATGCAGAATTGATAAACAGATGTTGTTAATCTGTATGGGACCATAGGATACCTTTGAAATGCAAATTACCGAATCATAGTTGTAAATGATAGAGAATCATATTCTTATTATACTTAACAGGAAAATATAATACACTTTTTAGTTCTCTAGGTCAGTAAATATTAATCATGGTTTTGGGGTTTTGAAATCACCTTTTGTCTTCAGCAGGCATCATTAATAAGTTCAAGTCGGTTTAGCTTTTATTTTAATGGGGGATAAAGATGGCATTTCTGATATTCTTTTAAAGTTATTAATAGCAAAAATATGGTAGTTTTCCCCACCTAGAATATAAATTATTAAGCAGTCAAAACTTGGCATGAAAATGTTATTGTTACTTAGGCTTAAATTTTTAAACAATGACTACTCTGGTGTTAACATTATTAAATCAAAACACGTAACTGCATGTTCAAGCATCCTAGTCGTTAGTGCTAACAAGTGATAGTCCAGGCAGATGCCGAATAAGTGCCTGGACCTAGTTCATGCTCCTCTTACTAAGGAAGGATAAAAAGAGTGGCTGTAGATAATGTGTAGAAATATTTAACTACACTCTGACCCTTCTTAATACTTTAGTATGTATAATATTATCAAAGTTACCAGTGCTGCCTTTTGATATATGGATGACTGGAATCGTGATTAATGTTATGGATGATAATATTATATACAGAATTCACACTTAAAAATGTCATTGCACAAATTCTGTTTTTAAGCTGTTGAAATTTCAATAGTAGTGTTTTTCTTGATTTTTAACAGTGAAATGATGGAGAAATAATATCTTTATAAGTTAATCTACAAACAGGTTGTGTCCTATAAATGGTAAACAATGTTTAAAGTGTTTTGTGTTTAATTGTAATCCATTAACATTGAAGATTTCTGTGTCAGAGCAGTGAAATTTGGGGGGAAAATATTAGTTAAATCTCTTTATTCAAGTCAGCCACCTTGATAATGACAATTATCATCCCCTCCCCCAAATGTAAATATTAAATTGCTCATTTTTCTCCTAGAAGAGATATCATTAAGAGGCATGCACTTTTCATGGGATGGTCACCTGCATTTTCTTTCACTGATAGATGGACAGATGAAAGAAGGAGGGAAGGGAAGAAAGAAAAAAGAAGGGAAAAAAGCAAGAACATTCTTTTCTGTTGCTCTTGGCATATCCCTTACACAGGTCAGAGATGGTGAGTGACAGGTGAGGGCAAGAATCAAGGAAATGCCTGGTTCTTGTTTTCCTGGATAGGATGCCAGGAAATGAACTAATGCTATGTTTATCAAATAGGAGATCTTTAAAGCTTTATTCTGAATACCCATTAAGACTGATTTTTCATAAAAAAAAAAAGACTGATTTTTCATTGAGTGATACATTGTAGCTTTTGAACCTCAGTACTCAAGTACTACAGTAGTTTTTATGCTTAACTTCACATTTATTTATTAAGGATATATTTATTGAATACCTACTAAAGGTCAGGCATTATTTTAACATGTTTTAAAATGAAGAGGCCTATATAAGTTTTCGATATTATTCTAGAAGTAGTGAGATACTTTTATTTTCATTTCCACAACATTAAACGAGTTAATTCAAAAATCTATTTTTTTATGGCCTAGAGTTTATGAATGTTTTGCTTTTTCAGGTCTGTTGGTGATGGAATAAATTTGATCTTTAGATGCCCAAGAATTCCTAAAGATGGGTTAGTAATAGAGAAAGTATGTTAAATTACTGGCTCTACATTTAAATTTTTGTTTTTATTTTGAATATTTCCAAAGCACATTTGCAGGGATAACAAATTGTGAAGCTCCTTTAATAACAGTAGCTTCCAGATGACCTCAGGAAACAGTACAAGTCAGTGAGAATGTTTACAGATCCTCAGAACAACTACCATAGCGTTTGGCCAAATGAATTTAAGAAGTAAAACAAGTTTCACTAGCTTTATTTGGAAACTGGCTTACAGTGTATATCTAACTTTGATTTCCCCTAGTTTTTCCATTTTTAAAATGATGAATTTTTGATTATATGCCAATTACGTGAATATTTTTGACACAACAAATATATGTTTATATTTAAGATTTTGTCATTTAATGTTTTTTAGATTGATGTGAAGACCACCTTTTTGGGTGGCCAGGGAGAGTGGTAGTTGGTGTCAGTTCTAAGAGTAGTTGATACCTGTTTTCTTATTTCAAATGCACCAACAAAGCTGTTTTACTACGATGTATTTAATAGCTCTTAGTTCTCCTGCGTGACTTTAGTCAGTGATTTTATACAATATCCAAATAAAATTTCCTGAAGATTAAGCTGTGAAATGTATCACCTTCATCTAATTTTTAAGGTATAAAATAGTATCTTGCCTACTTTCCTTAAATTCATACTGGTAACTTATTTGTCTGCACGTTACCTTGATGAAATAAGCCTAAACCAGATATGTGCAATAAAAGTGATTCTTTATATATATCTATTCCAGTAAGAAAGACTATTTTTAGATATTTAAAATGTTTTAGTTCATGTAGAAGTCCATTAATTCAAATCTGTTTAAAAGATAGATGACTATATTTTTAATTTTGAATAACATTGATTATATATCATTCTTACTATTTTATCTTTACTTTTTTTTGCAGTTTTTTGAAAAATAGCTATGTAACTTATTGAACATTATTTTGATGTTACTGTATAAACATGCATAATAAATATTAAATTCTTATTTACTTTGTTTCAAGCTTTGTCCTGGAGTTTTTTCAGTGCACATTACGGACAGAATATTTTGTGTATCAAGACTATATTTGCTTCCTGAGCTATATTCAAAATATCCTTCATATTTTAGAAATTTATTATTTCAGAATAAAATATCTCATGAGCCTGTTTCATTCAGTGTCTCCCAAGGGTGAGTCTTCATCCTTTCAGATATTTCTCAAAATGTTTGAGTTATTTAGGCAGGATAATTCATTAAGAAATACTTTGTCTACCTGTTTGTATTTAACCTTTTTTGAGTCTTGAAGATCTGGGTCATGAAGCTCTTCAGGATTATGATGAAAGTTACAGACCATCTTTCATTTGTTCAGTAATTTAATAAATATTTATTCAGTATCTGCTGTGTAGTAGGCATTAGGGATATAGCACTGAACACAGGAGATAGAAATCGTTCTAAGAAGTGAGGAAAGACTTTCTAAGAAGTGAAGAGTAAGGAAAAGATATTTCAAGTGGTAAGTGAAATGGAAAAAAATCAAGCAACATTATCCAGCAAGCCATATGGGAATTAAGGTCCAAGGGATGAAGGATGTTCTAGGGGTAAAAGGTGTCTGGTATTAGTCCTGATAGTCCCAAAAGAAGCTGTAAGTGTTGGGGGAAGGAAGTGGAGGCTTTTAATTCTGGGGCCCTCTCGTCACTCCTGCTAATGGCAATATAGAGACTGGAAAAGGAAGTCTTGACATTTATATTTTCTCAGAAAAATATATGCCCCAGATTTTTGTATGTAATTTCAGAGATACATGGATTCCCTGAAACTATTTTCATAATTTTTAATTTGTACTCAAGCATCTAATATGTTTGCATTCCCGTATGTATTAGAATAGACTGGGTGATGCTGCAGTAACAAATAACCCTACATTCCAATGGCTTAACACAACAAAAGTTTATTTCTTCCTCATCCAAAGTCCACTGTGAGTCTGGGCAATCTGCAAAGGCAACTGTTTTCCAACGGGTGACTCTCATCCCAGCCAGTTGTCTTCTGGCTCTATCATTTTAACACCAGGCCTCTCCCCACGGCAGGGGAAGAGAACACCAAAAGGTCTTGCACGAGCAACCAAATTCTTCATGCTGGATGTGTCACGCACAACCCATTGTCCAGATGTAGTCACATGGCCCAGCTTAATTGCAAGGGAGGATGGGTAGGAAAGAGCAAGTCTCCTGGGACCCAGAAGAAAAGAAGAACGGGCTATGTGAGGGCACCAGCCTCGCACAGTCTACCAAGCTCAGCTCTTCTTTCCACACGTGGAACACAGTGACTCCCTTTTCAAGAGATACAGCCTCAAAGTACCGTCCAGGTAAAGGGTTATTCTCCAAGACTAGGCTCTTTAGAAGTGCTATGCCAGGTCTGGAGGTTGCCCCAGTGGTCTGGAGACCTAGGAAGCAAAAGGTCACGCTCTGTTTTCTAAACACTTACTGTGTAGTGGTAAAACCGGTGGAACTATAACCACAATAAACCTTCTCTTTCAGAAAGGGGAAGAATGGAGGTACTGTCAGTCTCTTACCCTGGGTGAAGGGAATGTTAATTGTTAGACCTTCCCTCTGTTCTCTACGAACTCCATTCTCCATTGTTCTCTGTGACTCCAGACTTCACCCTTTGGAAGAATCTTTTTTTTATTAGCCTCCTTGGCTATGTCTGAATGGCTGTTGAGGTATATGCCATCCTTGGAGGTTGCACAGCTTTTTTTTCCAGTCTGTTTCCTAGGTAATTGGGGGCTGAAGTTTTTTTGTTTTGTTTTGTTTTTTAAGTTTGGAATAGTCACAAGTTCTGTTAGCCAAGGCTTATGGTTTCTTTTCCAGAACAGCTCTTAAAAGCTTAATGGGCCTCCTTGTTTCCAGTCAGATTTATATGCCAGTAATCATAACATTTTTTTGAGACAACTAGTTCCTGGGTTGGCTGTATTTCTTTCATTTCCTACCTCCATACCTCTTTCCTGACCTTATGGCAGGTAACTTCTGTGTACATACAGTGATGGGAGAAACATTTTCACCCTCAGTTATTTTTTTTTCCCAAGAGAGGAACAAAATTAAGGTTACCTTAATTAGATCCTTAATTAGCCCACTGAAAATTTCCAAAGTAACTATGACGTTTACACCCTTAGTTGTGATCTTTGCTGCAAGGCTGAGTTTTTCTGATCCTTTGTCACTTAAAGTCTTTCTCAACTTTATCTCCTATTGCTTGAAGTTGAAAAACACAAACATGTGAGGCTCAAATATTCTGGTTGCCTCTATTCTCTCATTTCAGTTTTTATAAATCAACCATTCCTTTCTGAGTTCCACTCTTGTAATACCTTGTCCTGTGCATCCAATAGCACCCTCCGCTGTCTTACTTTTCAACTTCTTTCCCTAGCTCAAAATTCATTAGGTACATTTTCTGCCTCCCAGGTTACTGTGGGTGATGGTTATATTAAATTTTTTTACCACTGCATAAACTGCCATGTTTCTAGCCTCCAATAGTTCTCCATGTATCCCAACCAACTTCTAAGCTACCACCACGTTTTCAGTTCTTTGAGTAGCACCCAACTACAGTTACCAATGTCTATCTTTGTCAGGATTAGTTAGGCTTATGCTGTATTAACAAACGATTCCAGAATCTCGGCAACTTACTTTGTGGTCACTGCAAAGTCTTTTGCTGATTTGGGGCTTTTTCTGGCCACTGTTTCCCATTAGGCAACTCAGTGATCCAGGCTGACAGAGAATGACCTGTAGCTGCTCCTTTATCTGAAACATGTGGCTTCTTTGGCTGATGTGACAGTGCATCTGGTCTTGTAAGCTTAGGTCCAGAAATGACAGTCACCACTTAACCCAAAGCGTACTGGCCAGGACTAATTCACTGAGTACTCTCTAAAGGGGCTTACAGTCTTCGATGTGCTGTAAGTTGGTGGAGAATCAGATACTGATGAACGCTAATACTGTCTACTACATCATACAAATGAATTAAGTATAGAAACAGTAGTTTAAATCACAAAAAATTTTAAAGGAAGAATATGCCAGTCAGTGAACATAGTAGGTTTTCCTTACTTTCTCCAGTCTGGTCTAAATGATCACCACCTGCATAAAGCCCAGTTTGGTTTATTGTTAAACAACTTAAGTAATTATTATTTTAAGTTCTTATAGTTCATTGTGCTAGATACTCTACTTTCTAGGTGGTGCTGAAGTAACAATATTTAATAATTAAAAGTTGTAATTTGTAATAATTTGTAGCATATTAGCTTTAAATATTCTTTTATCCTCCACTGCATTTTTTATTGTGATAAAATACATATAACATAAAATTTACCATTTTAACCATTTTTAGATGGCAGTAAGTACGTTCACAACATTGTACATATGTCACCATTTCTAGAACCCTTTTTCCTCATTCCAAACAGAAACTCTGTACAATTAAATAATAACTCAGTATTTCCCTCTTCCTCCAACCCTCAGCAACTGCTATTTCAGCTTGTCTATGAATTTGCCTATCCTAGGGACCTCAGATAAGTAAAATTACACGTTTGTCCTTTTGTGTCTGTGTTATTTCACTTAGCATAATCTTGTCAAAACTCATCCTTGTTGTAGCATGTACTGTATGTCTATACCATAGCTTTAAATAATTTATTATATAT